TGTAGATATAATCATGTACCATCTCTGAGGGATGTCAGGGCTACAGATGGACATAATGTAGCAACTATTCCAAACAGAAAAAGTGGAATGCAGAATCTGTGCACAGATCTTTAGCAAAGTTCTAGAATATGTGACAGATGATTTCTGAACATTTAGTTAAGAAAATAAGGGTCACTAGGAGCCAGCATGGACAAACCACAAACTAGTTTGACCCCCTAATTGTTTTCTAATCATGTCGCTTCTGGTCTGTCTCCACTACCATCCCTAGTTAGGTACCTTCTATCTGAGAATTTCTGCAGAGGGCCTCTGTCCTCCCGTCGGATCTGGGAAAGTCCACGCTGCCTACAGCTGCCACAGTTTACCAAAATGTAAAAACTTGGTCGTGTCATTTCCTAACCTAAAATTCTTCACCGCCTTCGACATGAAGGGCCTCTACACGTCTTACTTGGCAACCTGAAAGCTCCAGGAGGACCGTCAGCGTGGCTGCTTTCACGCGTTCTCATCACCAGCACCTAGCACGTGGCAGAGGCACTCAGCAAGAACGGAGCTAAGTCGTGGAACCTGTGTCTTTCAGCTCATTGGCCTGAACTTTTATTTTGGCATCCAGCCTCACTGAGTTGCCGCTGTGCTTCTTGTGTGTGTGTGTGTGTGTGTCCTTGCTTTTGCCCACTTAACCTTCTCTGCCTACAGTACCCTACACCTTGGCCAAGTCCTACTTATTTTTACAGTGTAATTGTCAACTCTTCCAGGAAGCCTCTTTTGACACCGTTCTTCCCTAAGTTAAGTGTCTGTGTCTGTCATGTTCGGTGTATACTTCTGTTCTCAATGATACCACACTTACCACTGTTCTTGAGTTTATCTTTGTCACTAGACCAAGATGTTAGAAAGCACAAATCATTTCTTTTTTCTTTTTTTTTCTTTTTTTTTTTTTTTTTTTTTTTTTTGACAGGCAGAGTGGACAGTGAGAGAGGGAGACAGAGAGAAAGGTCTTCCTTTTGCCGTTGGTTCACCCTCCAATGGCCGCTGTGCTGATCCAAAGGCAGGAGCCAGGTGCTTCTCCTGGTCTCCCATAGGGTGCAGGGCCCAAGCACTTGGGCCATCCTCCACTGCACTCCCTGGCCACAGCAGAGAGCTGGCCTGGAAGAGGAGCAACCAGGATAGAATCCAGTGCCCCAACCGGGACTAGAACCCGGTGTGCCAGTGCCGCAGGCGGAGGATTAGCCTATTGAGCTGCGGCGCCGACCTACAAATCATTTCTAATTTAACTCTTTTCACAGTGTGAAACATCATACCTGACACATAGCAAGGGCCCAGTAAAGGACTATTGAATTAAGTCAGGTTTCCTTTTTGATGTGGTTGCTTTGTATATAATATATTTTGATTTTGGCAAAAATGTTTGGCAGAGTGATATCTGAAATGCAGATCCAGTGGTATGCTTTAAATTGATAAAAGCCATTGTCAAATGAAGAAGACAGATTAAATAGTATGGCATAATCTCATTTTTTAAACAGCAACAACAACAAAAAAACCTGACTGGCAACTGACTTTATATGCATACAAGAATTTGTTTTGACCTATGATTTATCAAAGAATTGCATATTGAAAACAGTAATGCCTTACCATGTTCTACCTATTAAATTGGCGAAAAATGATAAGGAATGATTGATTACACTTAGTGTCAGAATGTAGACGATGAGTACATTTCAATCCCTGTAAGTGAATTGGAGAGCAATGGCCAGCATTTAGGAAAGTCTTAATGTGTTGGTCCTTTGACAAGAATTTCAATTATGGGGATTTGTCCTAAGGAAATAAAGTAAAAAGATGTTATCAAGTTAAAAAATGCTCCAATGTGTCCAAAAATAAATGCAAATTAAAATTGAGATACTGTCCTCACATGTCAAGTTTGTAAATTTTCCAGGAGTTTGATGACAGACTCTAATGGTGGAAGCTGTTGAGGGAAAAGCATTCCTACATTGCTGCTGTGATGTGAAATGATAGATGATCCCTATGGAGAATTTTCACTCCCTGGAATCTATTCCAAAGATACCCTAGCAAAAATATGAACTATATACTAGGCACCGTGGCACAATTTGTAATATTATAAGACTGGAAATAACTAATGTCCATCAGCAGGGACGTTAGTATGGTGTACAGCCACATAATCAAGTATTCTAGTTTTTTTTTAAATTTATTTGTTCATTTGAAAGGGAGAGTTACAGAGAGAAAGGGAGAGAGAGAGAGAGAGAGAGAGAGAGAGAGAGAGAGAGAGAAACAAGATCTTCCATCTGCTGGTTCACTCTCCAAATGGCCACAACATCCAGGGTTGGGCCTGGCTGAAGCCAGGAGCCCTGAGCTCCATTCAGGTCTTCTGCATCCACATGGGTGCAGGGTTGCCCAAGCACTGGGGCCGTCTTCCAATGCTTTCCCAGGTGCATTAGCAGGGAGTTGGATCAGAAGCGGAGCAGCTGGGACTGGAACCTCCAGGACCTGAACCAGTGCTCATATGGGATGCCAGCATTGCAGGCTGTAGCTTAAACTGCTGTACCACAGTACTGACCCCAAATATTCTAGTTTAAAGGTAATGAGGAATAATATTATGCTATTTATTTGAGATATTTAAAAAAAAAACAACTTTATTTGAAAGGCAGAGAGAGGAAGGGTGGTAGAGAAAGGAAGTGAGATATTTCCCATGCACTGGTTCACATTCCTCAAATGCCTACAGTAGCCAGGGCTAATCCAGGCTGAAGTCTAGAGCCCTGAACTCGGTCCAGGTCTCCATGTGAATGGCGGGGGCTCATTCACTTGAGCCATCATCTGCTGCCTCCCAAGATGATTAACAGGAACCTGGATCAGAAACAGACGGGCTGGTGCTGTGGCACAGTAGGTTAATCCTCCGCCTGCGGCACCGGCATCCCATATGGGTGCACCAGCATCCCATATGGGTGCCAGTTCTAATCCCAGCTGCTCCATGTCCAATCCAGCTCTCTGCTGTGGCCTGGGAAAGCAGCGGAGGATGGCCCAAGTGCTTGGGCTCCTGCACCCACTTGGGAGACCCAGAAGAAGCTCCTGGCTCCTGGCTTTGGATTGGCTCAGCTCCGGCCTTTGAGGCCAGTTTGGGAGTGAACCAGCAGATAGAAGACATTTCTCTCCCTCTCATTATATGTAACTCTACCTCTTAAATAAATAAATAAAATCTTAAAAAAAAAAAAAAAAAGAAAAAGAAAAGAAACAGAGGAGCTGGGATTGAACTAGCTCTTCATTATTGGATGCAGGCATCCCAAGCAACAGCTTAACCTTTTGTGCAACAACATCTGCCCCTAAATTTTTTTTTAAATAAAACCAAATCTGGAATGGTAGATACATGTTTTCCTATCTGTACTTAACTTGTTCTAGAATGGACAAAGCATCATTAATATAATTTCAAAAATTGAATAATATGAATATGAAAGGTCGTGAATTTAAGTGAAAAAAAAAAGTGAATTGTTTTCCAAAAGTCTATTTCAAAATAGAGCAGAAGAGGGAGTAGGCTTGGAAAAAGTTTATTTTTATAAACCCTGGAGATCTTGCTTGACTTATGTAGGCCAACAGAGTAAGCTTGCAGTTAAAAATTCTCATATCTGGTTAGAGTGTTGTCTTAAGAAATAATTGTGGCCTTATTGAAAGGTTATTGTTATTGTACTCTGCATATTTTAGAACATATCTTAAAAAAAAACACCCTGTTCATTTGAGCTCTTTACTAACACAGAACAAACCAAATTGAACAACTAAACAAAGCCTTCGAGTTCAGACGCTGCTGATGTGGAGACAGCCAGCTGGGGAGGAGGAGCCTGTGGGAAACGTGACAGCTGACTGTATATGTCAGAGAGGGCATTGCGGGGAGGAGTGCTCAGGAGAATTGATTAGGAACCAATTCATTAGGTCAACACCAAGGCGTGGTGTTTTTGTGCCTCATCCCCCAGTGAAGTGGGCCTCTGTATAGCGTGGCCGAGTCTGGGGAGCACCTGACAAGCATCTTGAACTCACTTCCTTTGTTGGGAGAAACATTAGGTGTCAGAGCTGTAAGGTCTTTCTGCCTATGACACTGAATAGGCAAGAGAAAACTAGACCCCATTCACATAAGAAACGAGAGTAGACGTGGGCAGGATCACATTGGCCTGTTTCACCTTTAGGTTGCTCTGACACTTTCGGTATCTGAGCTTTACTTTATCAGGCTGTATTTTGTATGGGGAGGTGGACTTTGGACTCTTGCTGTCTTAATTGGAGGCGGTTTCACTAGGAACCATCCAGAGGCACTGAACCACATGTTATCTGAGTGTTCGTGGAAAGGCTAAGTGAATCAGCCACAAAACGAAGTAGCAACTTAAGTGGTTACGTGAACTAAGTGGTTCAGAGAACAGCTGCTGGGTTGGAATTCTGTCTCTGCCTCAGTTTCCTTACCTGCAGAATGGCAATGATAATACGAGTGGGCTTCTTGTGAGCTTGGGAGCATGACCTTCATTATGCATTTCACCTATGCACTCCGTGAGGGCCTGAAGTTATTCAGTAAATTGTGGGTGGGTAAGTGGTTAAACAAATGCATGGAGTTACAGCAGTTCTTTCCCTGAGCTTGGATACGGGGAGCTGGGATTATTGAATGGAGAGTTGATATTCTGTTCTTTGACACTAGATTCAGTGCATTTCATTCCACATCCTACTCTGTCCTCTCTGTTCTCCCTAATTTAGCCATCTACCTTTTAAGAAATAGGAGTTTTGAATTAGGATCAATTGTGTGGGGGCTGCTTGCAGAAAACGACTTGTGCATACGAATGGGTTTTGACTGTGAGCACACTTCAGATATGTTGACTTGAATAAGTTATGTACTGGGCTTTGCAGAACATGAAGTTTATACCCACATTATTTTTGGAAAGAAGAAACTGATTGAAACTGCTAGGTTTTTTATAAAGATACAAAATCGTTACTATATTTTCACTCAGTATTGCATTCTCTCTGTGATTTTCTAGATAACGAAGATCTGGACAACGCCAAGGCCACCACTCTGCTGGCCTCTGTTTCGGATCCAGAACCCCATTCCTCCCCTGACAGGTAGGGACAGACAACTGCTTTTGATAAGATGCTTCCAGAGGTTTCATTGAGATCAGGAACTGGCGAGGGAAGTGGGCAGCAGCTTCAAGGGGGAAGGCAACTTGAAGTAGGGGTGTGGGTGGTTTTGTCATAATGAACCCTGAAGTGTGTTTAGCGGCAATGTTAGATCTTTTTCAAGTTATAGGTTTTGTTTGCTTGTTTGTTTGTTTTTTGGTTTCACTCTTGAGAGAACAAAACTGTGACATAATCTAGTGCAAGTGTTCCCATTTATCTTCTCTGGAAGGCCATTGTCATTGTTAACATTGTTAACATTGTCATTGTTAAAGCGTTTACAGTAGATCCCAAATTGCAAGTGGCTGTGTTTACCCATAAAATGCATAGCCACGCACACACTCAGTCTCATGAACAGCTGGAAGCCGTGTTTTATTATGTGTTTGTCAGACTCATCCATTGTCGTGACCTCGAGGTTGTCATTCTTAAATTCCTTCTCCGTCCATCCATCTCATCTACCCACCGTGATTGGCATCTCAGTGTAGGAGGACAAGAGTTACACTGAACTCTAGAGTGAGTGGAAGACGTGAAATATTAATGGAATGATTCCTGGGAGGTATTATCATCCAACTCATCAGTTCATGGAGCAGTGTTGTCTGGGAGCACCTAAGCCTCTGTCTCACAGAACTGATGGCTGGAGGTAGAGGAGATGTGGAGCCGTTTTGTGTCCCATCTGGATGGTCTTTCATCTTTGCTACCTTTTTTTTTTTTTTTAAGATTTATTTAGGGCCGGTGCCATGGCTCAACAGGCTAATCCTCCGCCTTGCGGCACCGGCACACCGGGTTCTAGTCCCAGTCGGGGCACCGGATTCTGTCCCTGTTGCCCCTCTTCCAAGCCAGCTCTCTGCTGTGGCCAGGGAGTGCAGTGGAGGATGGCCCAAGTGCTTGGGCCCTGCACCCCATGGGAGACCAGGAGAAGCACCTGGCTCCCGGCTTCGGATCAGCGCGATGCGCCAGCCGCAGCGCACCAGCCGCGGCGGCCATTGGAGGGTGAACCAACGGCAAAAGGAAGACCTTTCTCTCTGTCTCTCTCTCTCTCACTGTCCACTCTGCCTGTCAAAAAAAAAAAAAAAAAGATTTATTTAGTTATTTGAAAGGCAGAGTGACAGAGAGAAAAACATAGGAGTCTTCTATCCTCTGCTTCACTTCCCACATGGCCACAATGACCAAGGCTGAGCCACACAGAAGCCAGGAGCCAAGAGCTCCATCCAGGTCTCCCACATGGATAGCAGGGGCCCAAGCCCTCAGGCCACCCTCTGCTGCTTTGTCAGGCACGAGAGCAGGAAGCTGGATTGGAAACGGAGTAGCTGGGACTCACACTGGTGCTGTGATATGGGATGCTAGCATTGCAGACACAGCTTAGCCTACTGTGCCACGACACTGACCCCTCCTTCCTTTTGTAGATGCAATGACTCATGTGATTAATATAAGTATAATGTAATTGGGGATAATAATACAGTAGCCATGCTTTATTAAATGCTTCTCAGTAATGATAAAACAGTTACTTTCATCACATATTTCTATTGATAAATACTTTGAGTATTTAAATGTATTATTTCATCAAGTCCTCTTAACAGCCCCAATAAAATAAGTATACTTGCCTTTTATTAAAATTTGATTTTTAAATTTTGTATTAATATTTAATAATACATATTTTAAGAGGTTTGCAGTACAGCCTTTTCAACACGTACACATTGCTTGAACCAACCTTTCCAGGCAAACCAGCCTATTCCTTTTGTTTGTGTTTGAAGCCTACCAGCTCCTGTCTTCCAGCTCTCTGTACAGGATATTATAAATCATGAGCCGTTGTCACCCCACTGAGCTGCCAAACCCCAGGATTTGTTAGATTTGCAGTACTGTGTTTTAGTACCAGTTATCCAATCTCCCCCCATCCCTTGCCTTTTTTTTTTTTTTTTTAAGATGAGGGCAATAAAACCGTGAGTTCCATAATTTACCGAAGTCCACATAGCTCTAGCTTATTCTCATAGCCGGCAGTGGGAGATCCTGACCCGCCGTGGAGCTGCTCAGTTATTGCGTGTACCTGTCCTCTAGAGGACACGGCCTCCTCCAGGCCTCGATTCCTGAGACAATTCACTCGTGCAAAGGTCCTGAGGCGCACTCCCTGCCGTCTGCCTGCCAGGCTTCTTTCCTGCACACGTGGACTTGGAGGCTGGGTTTGGGCACAGACTGCTTTATCCTCCCAGAAGTGAGAAACAGAACATTCTTGGATAAAAGGAGATTCAATTTTAAAGTTCTGTTTGTAAAATCCAGCAAGGGAAGAAAAGAATCCGGGGTGTTGATGCCTGAAGCACCGTGGTTGTGTTTTGTGCCGACTGGAAATGAGAAGGACGCCGACCTTCTTCTTTCCAGGGAGCCTGGCAGCTGGCGGGGCCGCCCCGCCCTTCGTCCTGGCCTCGGTGCTGTGCCTCAGCACAAGCCAGAGGCCTCGCCTGGAAGATTTCCCTGCACATGACATTACCGGCATCCAGTGGCTTGCAAGTTCTCTTTCCCAAAATACCCTTCAGTGATTCTCTAGAGCATCAGCTGCTAATGTGAACACTGAGTTTATGTGGCTGATGCATGTCCTGTTTGGAATTCTTAAGCAGAGCCGCACTGGTTCAGAGGAGCACACACAGCGGTAAAGAGGTGACTGCGTGCTGGCTGCCACCTACAGTGAGGGTAGCTAGCGATGCGCAGTAACTGCTGTCCTTCCCCTGTTCTAAATGATGGTCTATTCCCAACAAAAATTAACTTACCCACTTAGTCACTCAACAGACTTCGGGGAGTGTCTGCCCTTTATCCATTCAGTCAACAGAACCTTGTTGAGAGCTGGCACTGTGCTGGTACTGAGGATACCACCAGTGAGCCAGACGGTCTGGGTTGCTGCTCTCACAAGCTTGTGTTCTAGCACAGAGGCAGACGGAAGGCAGGTGCACCTCGTGTTTCAGAGGCTCTGAGTTGCCACCAGCCCTAAGACATGCTGCTGGGTAAGAGTGCTCAGGGTAAGGAGCCTGCCACGGACCCCACCTGCACAGTCGATGAGAAGAAGAGCAGAGGGGCCGGCGCCGTGGCTCACTTGGCTAATCCTCCACCTGCGGCACGGGCATCCCATATGGGCTCCGGATTCTGTCCCAGTTGTTCCTCTTCCAGTCCAGCTCTCTGCTGTGGCCCAGGAAAGCAGTGGAGGATGACCCAAGTGCTTGGTCTCCTGCACCCACATGGGAGGCTGGAGGAAGCACCTGGCTCCTGGCTTCGGATCGGCGCAGCGCCAGCCGTAGTGACCATTTCGGGGGTGAACCAACGGAAGGAAGACCTTTCTCTCTGTGTCTCTCTCTCTCTCACTGTCTATAACTCTACCTGTCAAAAAAAAAAAAAAAAAAGACTTCTCTCTCTCTCTCTCTCTGCCTCTCCTTCTCTCTCTGTGTAACTCTCACTTTCAAATAAATAAATAAATCTTTAAAAAAAAAAAAAAAGAAGAAGAGCAGAGGGAAAAACCCCTCCATGCTGAAGAGTACACCCAGGAAAGGTGTGGGGAGAATGAGACCGCCTGGGAACACGCACACAGGTTTGTTGTCCACATTCCCTCTGCAGTGTGGTCTGGACAGAACCCTTGAGCAGAGCACTGAATTCCAGGTGGCCTCAGGTTGGTGGCACTCCTGAGCACTGGCATTCCCTCCTGTGGGAGGACTTGCTGTCAGTCCAGGCCACGGCAGTGGGAAGACATTTTCAGTACTTAAGACATCCCGTGGGCTGGTGCTGCGGCTTAGCGGATAAAGCCGCTACCTGCAGGGCCAGCATCCCATATGGGCACCTGTTTGAGACTGGCTGCTCCATTCCAATCCAGCTCTCTGCTGTGGCCTGAGAAAGCAGTAGAAGATGACCCAAGACCTTGGGCCCCTGCACCTGCGTGGGAGATCCAGAGGAAACTCCTGGCTCCTGGCTTCGGATTGGTGCAACTCTGGCTGTTGCGGCCATCTGGGGAATGAACCAGTGGATGGAAGACCTCTCTCTCTCTCTTCCTTTCCTTCTCTCTGTGTGTAACTCTGACTTTCAAATAATAAATAAATAAATCTTAAAAAAAAAAAAGACATCCCACATTTCAGGTATCAAGATCTAAGAACAAGGCCGGTGCCGTGGCTCAATAGGCTAATCCTCCGCTTTGCAGCGCCAGCACCCCGGGTTCTAGTCCCATTCGGGGCGCCGGATTCTGTCCCGGTTGCCCCTCTTCCAGGCCAGCTCTCTGCTGTGGCCCGGGAAGGCAGTGGAGGATGGCCCAAGTGCTTGGGCCCTGCACCCCATGGGAGACCAGGAGAAGCACCTGGCTCCTGACTTCGGATCAGCGCGATGCGCCAGCCACAGCACGCCATCTGCAGCGGCCATTGGAGGGTGAACCAATGGCAAAAAGAAGACTTTTCTCTCTGTCTCTCTCTCTCACTGTCCACTCTGCCTGTCAAAAAAAAAAAAAAAAAAAGATCTAAGAACAAGTGTGAGTCTTGTGATCAACAAAATAGGGTCCGTCCTACATCCTACGGCAGGGCAGGAGTAAGTGCCGAGCAGAAAGCTGAAGCAGGGTGAGGTGTGGAGTGACAGCCCGGGGAGACCGCTCAGAAAGTGAGAGTGGAGAGAAGCCTGGACTGGGGGAAGAGCGTTGCAGGCAGAGGCTGCCAGGCTCAAAGGCCGTCACGTGGGAGACTGCCTGGTGTCCAAGGACTGTCAGGTTAAAGAGCCCATCCCGTGGGAGTGAGCTGGGCGACCTGGGATTTCCCGTCTAGGCGCTGTGCACAGAGAGGGAGTAAAACCCGGTCCGGGATGGCAAGCTGGCTCTCTAGTCAAGGAGGCAGGTGACGATCAGTGTCGAGGAACAAAAGGAACTGAATCTCTGGGTTTGAGGGCATCAAACAAGGCTCACAACCTAGGCCAGTTTAGAGTTTACACTGGATCACCCAAGCAAACCTATAAAAATCAACAGCATCCCACTCTGTCTCACGGTCACTACCTTTTGTTCAGAGGTGTAGGTTGAGATGAGTTGGATATTCCAAAAGATGTCCTGTTCTACCTATAGAAGAGGTAATTTGTAAACCAGGAGTGATTTTTCCTATTATTATTTTTATAAGATACAGTCTTATTTTTATTTTATTCTATTTTTTTAAGATATATTTATCTATTTGAAAAGCAGAGTTATGGAGAGGCAGAAGCAGAGTCAGAGAGAGAGAGAGAGAGAGAGAGAGAGAGAGAGAGATATGGAGAGGTCTTCCATCCACTGGTTCATGCCCCAAATGGCCACAACGGCCAGAGCTGCACAGATCTGAAGACAGGAGCCAGGAGCCTCTTCTAGGTCTCCCACGCAGGTGCAGGGGCCCAAGCACTTGGGCCATCTTCTACTTCCTAGGCCATAGCAGACAGCTGGATCAGAAGAGGAGCAGCCGGATTTTGAACTGGCACCCATATGGGATGCCAGCACTGCAGGTGGCAGCTTAACCCCCTATGCCACAGCACCGCCCCCTTTCCTATTATTTTACAGAAGGAAAGAAAGAAACAGAATGTTAATAAATCCTAAAATAAAGCCCTGCTCCGTGTCCCCCATGTGGTGTACTAGACCATTTCCCAGGCGTTTCCTTGGCCGAAAATAGGGGTTCTGAAACCTTTATGTGCTTCAAAATTATTGGGGGCCCCAAGATTTTATGTGGGCTATATCTATCAGTGCTGACTATTTTAGAAATTAAAACAGAATCATTCCAATATAGTTGTTCATTCTTTTAAAAACAGTCGTGTAGACAGGCATTTGGTGTAGCTTTTAGACACTACTTGGGATGCCTGCATCCAAAATCAGAGTGCCTGGGTCTGAGTCCTGGCTCCGCTCCTGTTCCTGGCTTCCTGCTGCTGTGCACTCTGGGAGGCAGCAGGTGACAGCTCAAGTGCTTGGGTCCCAGCCACCCTGCGAGAGACAGGGTTTGAGTTCTGGGCTCCTTCCTGTCTTTGGCCTCAATGAGCCCTGGGTATTCCAATAATAAATATGAATTTTAAAACCCACAATAAGGAACTAATTACAAGTTAGTATAAATGACATTTTTAATTAAAAGTGACTAATTTTCAAAGCAAAGACAATGTAGTAAGGAGAGAGACATTCTAAGTGTTTTTTTTTTTTTTTTTTTTTTTTTTTTTTTTTGTAACATTTGGTTAATAAAAGACAATTGGATTCTCTTCTCTGCTTCTGGATTTGTTCTGTCACAATATCACATGTCATGTAGCCTCTGGAAAATTCTACTGCATACTGTTGAGAAAAATGAGAATTTTAAAAAGGGAAATAATATTTGAGTACATTAGGAAAAAGTTTTGACCTCACAGACTCCCTTGAAGGATCCTGAAGACCCCAGGGGTTCCCAGGCCATACTTTGAAAAATCTTCTAAAAAAATCCACGTCACCTTTGATTGGCAACAGATTTGAAAAATACCCTCAGTATTATGCCACAGCTCTGGCACTTAACTCATTTTCCAGTGTTGCTGAGGCCAGTGGATGTGGAAGAGGGCATTTATCATTCCCTTGCCTCTTTAAAATTAGCTACTCTCAGGGGCCAGTGCTGTGGTGCAGTGGGTTAAAGTTCCGGCCTGCAGCACTGGCATCCAATGTGGGCGTTGGTTCGAGTCCTGGCTGCTCCACTTTGATCCAGCTTCCAGCCAATGTGCCTGGGAAAGCAGTAGAAGATGATCCAAGTCCTTGGGCCCCTGCACCCATGTGGGAGACCAAGAAGAAGCTCCTGGCTCCTGGCTTTGGATCAGCTCAGCTCCTGGAGTGAACCAGCAGATGGAAGACCTCTCTCTGTCTCTCCCTCTCTCTGTGACTCTGTCTTTCAAATAAATAAATCTTAAATAAAAAATCAACTACTTGCACAGTTCTGTTTTAGGTCACTGGGATAGCTGATTAATGTACTTCCAAAGAGAAGAAAGTGATTGCTTCTGTCAGTGAACAGAGAGGGAATGACATGGAACTGCTGGAAGACAGACAGTCCTGGAACAACTGCAGAGAGGGACGGCCTTGACAGTTTGCACTTACTTTTTTGAGGGGCCTTCTCTATTTGCTTCTCCCCCATGGTGTGTGTGTGTGTGTACATTTATTTATTTGAAAGAGTTACAGAAAGAGATCTACTGTTCACTTCCCAAATGGCTGCAACAGCCAGAGCTGGTCCAGGCCAAAGCCAGGAGCCACAGCTTCATCTGGGTCTCCCACATGTGTGGCAGGGACCCAAGAACTTGGGCCATCTTCTGTTGCTTTTCCCAGGCCATTAGTAGGGAGCTGGATCAGAAGTTGAGCAGCTTGGACACGAACTGGAACCTATATAAGATGCTGGCATTGCAGTAGCTTCTTATCTGCTACGCCACAGTGCTGACCCTAGTGACTCTGTAGTTTTGTGTAGAACCAAATTGGGAGTCTCTCTCTTTTGCAAAAGTCCATGGGAGAGGATGCCGGCGCTCTGGTGTAGTATGCTAAGCCTCCAGCTGTGGCACTGCACCACATATTGGGTGCTGGTTCGTGTCCTGGCTGCTTTTCCTCCAGTCCAGCTCTCTGCTATAGCCTGGGAAAGCAACAGATGACTCAAGTGCTTGGGCCCCTACACCCACGTGGGAGACCTGGAAGAAGCTCCTGGCTCCTGGTTTTGGATTGGCCCAGCTCTGGCCTTTGCGGCCATTTGGGGAGTGAACCAGCGGATGGAGGACCTTTCTCTGTGTTTCCCTCTCTTTGTCTGTAACTCTACCTCTCAAATTAATTAATGAATTAAAAAAAAAAAAAAAAACTTCTGTGGGAGTAAATGGTGTGGACTCCAAAGTGAGGAATAAGGCAGTGACAGAGGCAGAGAGAAGCATGGTGGCTTCCAGGGGTTTGGGGCAGGGAGCAGAATGAGGAGATGTTGGCTGGAGTGTGTGAAGTATCAGTTAGGAGGAATAAGTGCCGGAGATCTTCGTACGGCTTGGTGACTGCAGTTAATAGAGTGTATACTTGAGAATTGCTAAGAGCATTCTAAATGTTCTGGTGACACACAAAAGTATCTGGGGTAGTGACTATGTCATTAGCTTGTCTGGATCACTGTATAGTGCATATGTGTATCAGGACATCGCCCTATATACCATAAACATGTGCAACTCTTGCTTGTCAGTACAGTGCATAAATGAAAGACACAGACACAGAGAAAACCAGCTGTCCGGTCCCTCTCAGATGCCTGAGCTGTGTGTTCAGCATGGTTCTAGAGCCTGGGACCCAGCTTTGTCAGGCTGTGGTGTGCCCTTACACGCTGTCACGCTGTCCTGTGGGCCGGTTCAGCCCTTGGCAGTGGTCAGCTGAGGTGACAGTCGACCTAGATGCCCAGGGCGGACTGCGGGGGGAGGGGTGGAGGGCCCCATGAGAATGGTCCGGCTTTTCCAAGAACCCCTACTTGACATGCTCTCTTCCTCTGTGAGGCTGCAGATGGTGTCGCCGGGGAGCAAGGATGCCAAGGAAGACCTGCGGAAAGACGCCAGCACCTTGGAGGCTCAAGCCTTGGTGGACCAGGATTCGCTGCCGGCAGACCAGGCCCAGGTCCTCCACGAGGTAGGGAGCATGTTCACTTTAGAAAAGGAGGAGTTTGTGGCACCCAAAGTCAGACATGTAATGGGTAGTGAAATTAAAAACTACTGTCTGGGTAGCTTCCAGAGGTCTCTCCTTGTTCCCTGTAGGTTATCTTATAATTGATTATTTGGAAAAAGATATCTTTAAAAATATTTCCCACAGAGTCTACCATTTTCTAAGCACTTAGCAGGCAACTGTTTGAAAAACAAAATGTTAGAATGAATGTTCACGTGATCTCTAAAATCTCGGTGTGAGGAGCCTTCAGTCACTGGACTGTGTTTTAGTCTGACTTTCCTTGCAGTGAATCTACTCCATGTTTATGGTAAAGATTCTGTAGAAGTGAAACTCGTAGCAGCAGTCCCTCTGCCATGGAGATGTGGGACATAAGGGTTGTTTGTGTCATCATTAGCATACGTGTTAAAGTGACAATTGATGTTGGTGTCAGTAAAGACAACACCAAGCATCACAATTACATTTGCATGATGCCTTATAGTATATGAAATTGTTATCCATAACATTTCATTTATTCCTGAGAATAATCTTGTGAGATACAGGACACCATTGTGGATGGTGGATTAACAAATGAGGAAGCTGAGGCTTTGAGATGTTGGTGACTTACTAAGGCCATGTAGCTGTTAATTTACAAACAGAATCCTTTGTTGAGCCTTTTGGAAAAGGAAAGATTCGTTTAATCACACTGGACAAAGTCTGATTCACTTCCTTTAACAACGGATATGACAAGAACTGGAGAGCTTGCTGTCCAGAAACAGATATTGTGAGAACGTAGCCTGGGAGGATTGCAAACTTCATTTATTTATTTATTGCTGATACAATTCCAGCCTCTTAACTGGATTGCTGACTCACTGATTTGCTCTCCCCTGTGGCCAGTAGGTATAGATTTCTTGTTGAGTTGCCTACCAACTGTTTGGAGAACAGCAGGAAATGACACCTAATAGTATGAAACAAGAAACACTAATCTGAAGGATTTGAAAAGAAACCCACCAAGGAGAGAGTGCAGGCCCCTGGGAGGGTCGGCAAGGGCCCTGAGTATCAAATGCTATTTGTATCTTCCGTGCGGGCTGGGTATGTGGCAGCAGATATAGTGATTAAATGCACATCGTGGGGTTGGCATCCGATGTAATTGCAATTATTTATCTAGACCGTTGTTAGTGACGTAAAGGGTGAGACAACCTGCAGCCCAGGGGAAGACACACACACACACACAGCAAGCCCAAGCAGATTTCCCTTCTCCAGTGCTCTTGGGAATTGACTGACAGCGATGTAGAAGTTACCCTTGAGTGGGAATTGGAGCAAGAGAATGTGTGCACAGTGGGAGTTCAGCTAAATCCGGGTACAAGAGCTATCAGGAGGGGAGCCGTAGGGAGGTACTGTGCAGGCTGAGGCAAGACCAAGCTATGGCCCAGAAACACCGTTGGTGTAAATGTCAGTACTTGTATTTGTGGACAAGGATTTTTTTTTTTTTAATTTGGAGAGAGAGCGAGCAAGAGTGAGCGTTCTTATCTGCTGCTGCGTTCCCCAAGTGCCTGAAATGGCCAGGCCAAAGCCAAGAGCTGGGAATCCAGACCACCTGCTGTCTCCGAGGGTGCATGTTAGCAGAAAGCTGGAATCAAGAACAGAGCTGGGACTCGGACCCCAGCATTCTAATATGGGGTGTGGGTGCCCCAACAGACATCTTAAGTGCTACTACAAAAAGGATTTTCTAAAGGGTCTGGAATGAAATAGTTTTGAAGAATCTGGAAAGAAGCTAACTGGTATTTGCCACTCTAATGTGTTCTTTAATCAGAGTCCTGTCGTACAGATGGCCAAGTACCAAGTACCAAAAAGGTCTGGGGACATGGTTATGATCCAGTCGGAGCACACGGGAGCCATCGATGTGCTTTCAGCTGACTTGGAATCTGCAGACCTTCTTGGCGACCACAGAAAAGGTGAGACCGTTGGGAGCATGGAAGGTAGGTTTTCTGGGCTTCCAATGCATGTTTAAGGCTGCCCAGATGGATGGGAGGCAAGCAGGTAGCGTGTGAAAGGGAGTCAGAGAAGCCAGGGGCAAGGCCGTCCCTGTGTCAGCCTCCCTGGGCATTGTCAGGTGTGGTCCCGCTCCCCTGGTCCTGGGCAGTCAGCCGCTTGTCCTTTCAGTCTCCCCGCCTCTGATGGCGCCTCCGTGCATCTGGACATTTGCCAAGGTGAAGGAATTCAAGAGCAAGCTAGGCAAAGAAAAGAACAGCCGGCTGGTGGTGAAGCGGGGAGAGGTGGTGACCATCCGGGTGCCCACCCACCCAGAGGGAAAGCGTGTCTGCTGGGAGTTTGCAACCGACGACTACGACATTGGCTTTGGAGTGTACTTTGACTGGACGCCCGTCACCAGCACTGACATCACCGTGCAGGTCAGCGATTCCAGTGAGGATGAGGATGAAGAAGAGGAGGAGGAGGAAGAGATTGAAGGTTCGTCTAATTTTCACGGAACTTTTCCAAGTTAACCTAGTTTCTAGTAGGCACTTCCCGGGTTGGATCAGCCTTGTTCTTCCTTAGAGTGCAGGCAAGGAGTCCAGCATTGCTAGCTGGGTTGAGCGGTGCAAGCCAAAGTAAGATCCTCAGGGAACTCCTGGTGGGGTTGGTCTTGATGCCTTACTTGAAAGCTACTTTTCTCTTTTAACCAGTGCCTGATTGTTTCCCTCAGAATCTCCCTGAGAATGGACTGGGGCAGGACCAGGGAGCGGGGTTATAAACTACCAGGAGCTTGGGGTTCCTTCCAGGTCTCCCGCGTGGGTGGCAGGAGCCCAAACCCTTGGGCCATTCCCCACTGTTTTCCAAGTGCATGAGCAGGAGCTGGATTGGAAACAGAGCAGCCAGGACTCCAGCCGGCTCCTTGATATGGGTCGCTGGCTTCACAGGCCGCAGCTTCACCTGCTGTGCCACAACGTCAGCCCCTGTTGGTTCTTCTTTACTTCATGCCCAGAACAGTTTTAAAAGTGTTTTCTTGTATCCCGTTCTGGTTGTTGTGTGTGGAGTCTCCTCAGGATGGTCTCAAGAAATTTTGGGGGGTCATATACGAGTAGGTTGTAAGCATTAGCTTATTCATTGCTTTTCTTAGAGGATCTTAAAATCAATCCCTTAACTTGCTTCTTCATAGAAAGGTAACTCTGCAGGGAAATCTGAAGATACCTGGGGAAGCGGACAACCTCGTGTCTGATTGCTGCTCCTCAGGAAGCCTCGTGGAAGTTTGAGGGGCACTCTGCACCGTCTGTCTGCAGTTCCCAGCTCCGGTAGCCAGTCCTTCACCTGCTGGGTGACAGGATGTCAGGATTCTCCCTTGTAAATCTCTCTCCCCCCTTTGGAAAAATCCAGACACTTCTGAAGCTAGGAAGGCCCCCATCAGGCTCAGTCACTATTTCTCAGTGGAGACATTGTTAGCATTTGTTATCCAGGTTTTAGCACTCCTGAATCTATATCCTGTATCACCTGGTCGTCAGGGCGATAACCGGAAAGATAGCAGACATTTCCAAACGCCCACAGGAGGACAGCAGCGTCTCCCCACCCTCCTGTGTCCCGGATGAAAGCCACCTGCTACCTGCTCCGTCCTCTTACCCTCGGGTTAGATGTGCTCAGTCTCTGGACTCACTTCCCAACCCTCTGCCATTTTGCTCTTGCAGAGCCTGTCCCAGCTGGAGATGTGGAGAGGGGTTCAAGGAGCTCCCTGAGGGGCCGCTATGGGGAGGTCATGCCTGTGTACCGGCGGGACAGCCACCGGGACGTGCAAGCTGGCAGCCATGACTACCCCGGCGAAGGCATCTACCTGCTCAAGTTTGACAACTCCTACTCGCTGCTGCGCAACAAGACTCTCTACTTCCACGTGTACTACACCAGCTGAAGGGCCGGCCAGGGGGCGGGCTGTTACTTGCTGGCTGAAGCAGGCTGCCAGCCGGGGCCTCTTGCTTTGGATGGGCAGGAGCTCAAAGTTCAGTGGGAGGCTCCAGAGCCTCTCTCCCTGCCTGGCATGCCTGACTGTCGACCCCACGTAGCTTCTTCCCTTCCTGGCTGGCTTCTGCAGGTGGTGGTGTGGTGCCCCTGTGCTGTGGTCCCTGACGCGCGCTCTCTTTGCTTCAGACTCCAGCAGAATCCCTCTGAGAAAGCACCTACCAGGCGAAAGCCTCCAAGGAAGTAGGTTGTCGTCTTTTAAAACTACCTTTGTTTCGGTACAAGGTTTATCATCCAGATGCTGCTCTCGTGAGCCCGTATCGCCGATGCTTTCGTGGCGCCCAGTCTTTTTACTTTGGGAGGTGCCAGAAGAGGGAAAAGCACATTGTCCAGGAAGGAGTCCAGTGTCTTGGATGGAGCACGCTCCGTCCAGCCTCTCACCACTGCCATATTCCCGCCTGCTGGGCATTCCTGGTCTCCGGCGCAGGCTGTGAGAGCCCACTGCCTTTGGAGGGACAGCATGGTTCCTAATGGTTGCCCTCCTCCTTTCCGCCCAGTCCTCGGCGCGTGTTTCTGCCCTTTCGGCAAGAACTTTTGTTCAATCTAGGTGGTGTTCTGTGTGACCTGAGATCTTCCAGCGCGAAAGCTGCCTCTGGCACTTCCTGTCCTGGGAGCTGCTCTCCCTCCCAAGGCCACTGGTGACCCGAGCAGGAAGGTACTGAAATGATCTCAGAACCCAGCTGTTTGAAAGTCAGGTGTTGTCATTTTTTTTTCTTTTATAAAAGAAGAAGGGATGTCATCTGAGAGAGAAGGTTAAAAATAAAAAACGCCATCTTATTCCCCACCACCCTTTCCTTCTCTGTTCAGAGTAGAAGTGTCACTGAGAAATTTGGCTTTGCAGTCAAATGCGGTGAAACCCATCAGGTTTCCCAAGTTGTTTAAAGCTTTTGAGGTTCAAAGTCTCTTAGCAAAAGTGATAACGAAGCTCCTGTGTTGCTGCTGATCGTGTTTGTTCTTGACCAACCAAAGCTTGTGTTTCCCTGGCGACGGCTTTTCCCGCTGGCCCAGGAGTGCACGGAGTGCAGGTGGTGCCGGTGTGGGGGCCTCCAGAGGAGGAGAAGGAGATGCGGTGGGACCCCGGCAGGCAGCTGTGCCTCCACCTCTCTTTCTCTTTGTGTTAAGTCTGTTGCTGCCTCCAAATCCTGAGGCATAGCTAGATTTATTTATTACCATATTTATTTTTGTTAAGCACATTTCATTTTGCATTTGGAACAGTTCCCATCTGTTTCTCAGAAGGCTTCCCACCTGTTCTGAGCCACAGGGCCACCTTTGTGTGGAGTTAAAGGAGGATTTGAGAAGGCAGGCCATTGCATTCCTGCAGGTCAGTCCGGGATCCGTGGGGGAGGAGCTGCAGCGCCCTCCCCGTTTGGGGAACAGCCCAGCGCTCCCCACACGGCATCCTGCTGGGGATGGAGCACCGAGGAACCCAGGCTTCCTGCCCTTTGTCCCCTCTGACTTGCCCTTCCCCTCAGCTGGCTCCTTCACGTGTGGAGGCCTCACCCAAGCCTCTCCCTGTGGGAGCAGAGCCCCTCCCAGTAGCTCTGTGGTAGCCACTGCTCCCGTGCCCGCTCTCCCCTGGGAGCAAAGGCCCAAGTAGGACAGGATGCTGTGGGTGGCCAGCGCATCTGCGGTCTCCGAGCAGCGTCATACCTCCATCATTTTATATTTGCAAGTGCATTTTGTAGAGGATTACACTGGCCAAAATTTATATATCTTGTAAGAAATTCCTTTTGTGACGGTCTATCTCAGTGACTGTCTGATGCAAAACAGATGTGCTGTGTGCGTCATTCCACCCGAGTGACCGCTCTTTCATCATCCACGTCGAACCACGCCTTAGCTAATTGAATATAATCTTTGTAAAATAATTTTCTACAGAGCTGTTTTCCAGTGAGCTGAAGACTTCTCGCATTTCCTGTGTATCACTATTATTTTCTGACTTTCTCCTGAAATGTCTCGAATGAGCGTCAGGCCCTGCATACCAAGCTCCCAGGGGTAACACTTGTTCATTTTGTGTTCCTGCCGGGAGAGTCCTTTTGCTTGCGTTCTCTGGAACCCCAGTCCTCTGTGTCAGGTATGCCCGAGGGACTTGTTCCTGTCACCTCTGTCTGCCTGCTGCCATGTTGTCAGTCAGTTTGGAAGTTCTGGGCATGCTGCCATTTCATTCCGTGCTGAGTTTTCCTCAACAGTCTCTCTTTTGTTGTTGTTGCATTAGCACAAAACAGCTAAAGGAAGATATCTTCATGTTCTAATTCATTTACAGTTCTCGTATGAAATTTCTGAAATTGAACTTTAGAGATGAACTATTATTCACCGAGGCACAGTGAGTCGCTGAGAACTGGTAGATGTAAGAGGTGGCCATTTCATCCGTCCCTCCCTGCCCAAGTCTGTAGGACTGAACAGTGAGATGACAGTTGTTTGCTCTTATCCTCATTCTGTACTCTTGAGGAGAAATAAATTGTTAACAGTCAGCTTAAAGAAAGCACTTCACAGTAGGGGAGAGATGAGAGGCGTCTGCACAGGTTACCTGGGCTCTTCATTTTGTTGAGTTTTGCTGCTTTGTTGAGGGATGGGGCTTTTAAAAAGGAAGACGTGTTTAAAGTTAATTTTTTCCAACTTTGTATTATGAAAAAATTCCAGCAAAAAAGAAAATGTAGTTGAAGTATAAACACACACACACCCATACACACCCATACATGCACATCCACACACACATGGATTTTTTAAAAAAAGCAAACTGCCATTTTTTAAACAAAGGTGACTGTTTCTGTTTCTCTGGACAAGTGTCCAGCTGCAGAATGTTCCTTGCACAGACACAGCAGTGTCCTGTGTCAGAGAGCCCCCGAGTTTCAGCAGACTCCTTCCGTTCACCATGGGTTCCCTGGGAGGAGGTCTCCGCAGAAACCTCTCTTGGTGCTGGGTTCCCCCTTCCGTCCGCCTAGCCTCTGCTGTTCTCTTAGTTGGCACATCACTGGGCAGGCCATTGTGAACCTGCCCTGGAAGGACTTTATTCCAGCCTCTGTTGAGTTAGACACGTCCTCAGGACTCTGAAAAATAAAACTCAGACCGTGTGGCTGGCGCCACGGCTCACTAGGCTAATCCTCCACCTAGCGGTGCCGGCACACCGGGTTCTAGTCCCGGTCGGGGTGCCAGATTCTGTCCCGGTTGCCCCTCTTCCAGGCCAGCTCTCTGCTGTGGCCCGGGAGTGCAGTGGAGGATGGCCCAAGTGCGTGGGCCCTGCACCCCATGGGAGACCAGGAGAAGTACCTGGCTCCTGCCATCGGATCAGCGCGGTGCGCCGGCCGTAGCGCACCGGCTGCAGCGGCCATTGGAGGGTGAACCAACGGCAAAGGAAGACCTTTCTCTCTGTCTCTCTCTCACTGTCCACTCTGCCTGTCAAAAAAAAAAAAAAAGAAAAAAAAAAACAACTCAGACTGTGGATAACGTGTGGTAGCTTTGTCATGGAAAGAGGCAGCAAGTTACAGTGACGCCATCTTTAGTTATTTTTTTTCCTCAATGAATTGGTTCATGTGCTTTAAAAAGATTTTTATTATTAATTTAGGAAAGAAAAGCTCAGACTTTTTAAAAAGGTGTATATTGTCCCATTATAAGATGGAACTGGAAGGATTAAATATGTAAGCTCACTATCTTATATTAATCACTGAAATTAGATATTGTACAATTTATAATCCATAGGAAATTATTAGAGTTTATGGCATTTTTTGGAAAATTTATTTATTTATTTGAAGGTCAGAGAGGGAGATTCTCCGTCTGCTAATTCACTTCTCCAGGTAGCCATAACAGCCAGGGCTGGCTGGCAAGGCTATCCCCAGGAGCCAGGAGCTTCATCTGGGTCTCCCACATTGGGCGATCTTCCACTGCTCTTCCCAGGTCATCAGCAGGGAACTGGATTGAAAGTGGAGTAGCAGGGACTCGAACCGGTGCCCACTTGGGATGCCAGCATCACAGGGGGTGACTCTACTTGCTGCACCTCCACACCACCCCCCAGAGCTTGTTTTTGATGAGCCCTACCCAGTCGCTCTTTAAGAGAATTAGCTGAGGGGCTGGTGCAATGGCGTAGCTGGTAAAGCTGCCGCCTGCAGTGCCGGCATCCCATATGGGCACCGGTTCAGGTCTCAGCTGCTCCACTTCTGATCCAGCTCTCTGCTGTGGCCTGGGAAAGCAGTAGAAGATGGCCCAAGTCCTTGGGCCCCTGCACCCTTGTGGGAGACATGAAGGAAGCTCGTGGCTTCGGATCAGCGCAGCTCCAGACGTTGCAGCCAATTGGGGAGTGAACCCACTGGATGGAAGATCTCTCTCTCTCTCTCCCATTCCTTCTCTCTCTGTAACTCTGATTTTCAAATAAATAAATCTTTTTTTTTTTTTTAAGAGAGAGCATATTAGGTGAAACCCAAACCTTAGGGCCTGTGTTTTTATATTTGCTTTTTAAGGCCTGTCTGTGCAAATGGTTGCTTTTTAACTGTGAAGACTGTGATTTTAAGGTATGCAGCTGAGTGATCCTAATATCTACATAAACATTTTTTGTTTTCATGGAGACTGAGGGAGGGGCATGGATTAAACAGTTTTGTGCTGTTCCAGACTGCCTATTAAAAATGGATATAGCAAAGCATGAAAGAATAAAATGAGGGGGAGAGGAGAGCAAAGCTGTTGAATAGACCCCAGAATTCTGCTCCTGTCCTGGTTTCGTTGACTGCTTTAGTTTGCATTTTGTTGGCTGGAATCGTTCTTTAAGTCAGAAGCCTTCCTGGTTCTCACTGTTGCTTGCTCAGGAAAACCCAAGCCTGCTTGGCTGTCTTTCCTGATGGGATCGACTTTAAAAATATTCCGAGTAGGTTTCCTCTGCTGCAAGTACTGCTGATGAGAGGACTGACTTCACCTCTCTGTTCCGGAGAAGGCTCGTGGGTGACACAGGCCGGAGCTGTAGTCGCAGCTAGCTTTGACTGTTACCAGGAAGGGGGTGAAATGGGTTCATTTTGACCAACGTCACAGAAGAGCCAAAAACTACCATTGAGTTTGTGGAAACTCCTGTAGGCCCGCCTCCCTGTAATGTGTATGCCGTGGCCACATAGCAGTAAATGGAGTGTATCAGTTTTCTCCTGTTGACAGCTGTCATTCAGAGTTTGTCCTGGAGCTAGCAGGTGCCCACTGGCCCCTTCACCTAGTTTCTTTCCATGTGGCCAAAAGTGTGGAATGCCTAGAAACCTGAATCTGCTGGAAGGGGAAAGCACCTTCCCTCCAGGATCCCATTGGTTGAAAATAATTAGAAAGTGAGTTTCTGTTGGAAGGAAGGTAATTTCATTTGGTTGTTGTTGGGAGGGATAGCTAGGTAAGGGACTGGTGTTCTTTCTAGAGACCAAGTCATTGTATTCCGTGTGTATTGGACTGTGCTCCGGGAGTCATGATGCACGCTTCTTTGGGAATGTAAGGAGGGAATAGGTGTCTAAAGCCAGTCACTCTCTGGGTACCTTCTTTCCACTGTCCCAAGTTCCCTTTGTTCCTGGTGGCCCTCCTTGTTCCTGGTGGCCTCTCTTCTGGGAAGGGGAGGAGGCACTCACTTTGTGTCTGGTGATGGTTGGTGGCAGCCACACCCACCCAGCACCTGTTGACATCCCAGCTATTTAGGTTAAGGTAGCCAGCTGTTGTGACCCCAAGGGTTAGAGAAACTGCAAAGCCTTGTGTGTCCAGATCAGAAACCCTCTGAAGTGTTTCGGTGTCCCTGCTTTGAACCAGGAAGGCCACACAAAGCCCTTCCTGGTTGACTCCCTTGTGCCTAAGCTAAGAAAACACAGCCGCCTAAAGCCTGCAATGACTCCTTTACAAATAGTCGTTCCTCATGGACCAAGTCCAGAGGCGAGACATTGGCTTTGAAGTTATGGGTCCTAATCACCGTGCCCTCGAAACCTAGAGATGCAGCCGCCTTCTTAAACTCCTCAGCGAGCTGTCGTTTCAAGTTGCTGGTTTTGGCTTATCTGGGGGGTAAAAGAACTGTGAGAATGACTTTCAGGGCACAAGGTGTGTTTTCTGAAGTTCTGACGTTTGGGTTGATAGGTCATCGTACAGAGCGTTACCGAAGATTTGCAGTCAGTTTAAGGGACCTCTTCCTGAACTCTACCACTCAGGGTCAAAATGCCTACTCTGCAGCGCTCTTTGTTTTTGATTATTACAATTGATTCTAAGTCCAGGCTGAGAATCACCTGGAAAATATTATCTTAATTCCTTCTCTCATGTCCTCAACAGTACATTTTACTAAGAAAATCCGTATTATAAGGATCACCTGTGACCTTCTCCGAGCTTATTGTCTTGTAAGTGAATTATCTTTCACTTGACGAAGCTGAATGATTTCTGTTTTGCTGTATGAGCGCGCGAGTGCAGATCGGAGGAAGCAGTCTTGTAACCAGGACTTCGGTGTTCCCATTTCCCTTTACGAACGATGGGAAGTGATTTGAAATTCCCAGCAGTAAGCCGCTCTGGAATCAAAGTGATGGACAGAAAAACCAGACTTTGGGTAATTAGAACAGAGGGAGGAGCTTGAAGGTCGTCTCAGTGACCCTGGGCCAACGAACCTCTGTTTCCAAAGGGCCTGCTGTGGCGCCACGGCCGCAGATCTGTCCGGGAATGGAAAGAAGATCGTGGCTGGCGCCGCGGCTCACTAGGCTAATCCTCCGCCTGTGGTGCCGGCACACCGGGTTCTAGTCCCGGTTGGGGCACTGGATTCTGTCCCAGTTGCCCCTGTTCCAGGCCAGCTCTCTGCTGTGGCCAGAGAGTGCAATGGAGGATGGCCCAAGTGCTTGGGCCCTGCACCCCATGGGAGACCAGGAGAAGCACCTGGCTCCTGGCTTCGGATCAGCGTGGTGCACCGGCCATAGTGCGCCGGCCGCGGCGGCCATTGGAGGGTGAACCAATGGCAAAGGAAGACCTTTCTCTCTGTCTCTCTCTCTCACTGTCCACTCTGCCTGTCAAAAAAAAAAAAAAAAAAAAAGATCGTGTGGTCTTGGTAAGTATTTCAGCGGTGGGAAGCCCTGAGAGTGTTCTTTCCTCGCTGATGTCTGCTTCCTGCCTGATGCTGATGCCATAAAAGGATCTGGAGGGGAAATGGTGTCACCGTCTTGTTCTTTTTTTTTTCCTTCTAAAAAACACAAGTATCCAGTGACTTGTTGTGCTTGTTCCCAATCATGAGAAATGCTGTCAGCAGCTACGATTTCTAAGTCCAGAGCTCTGTACCAAATTGTTACTGAATTCTTATATCCTGCAGAGTGGTTTTCCTTTTAAAATCCCTATTTATAACCCTGTGGCATTGACTATGTTACTGTGGTACACTGATGACCCTGGGCTGCGGTTCTTGTGGTTTTCTATCATGTAACAGTTTTGTGATGCTTTTGTGCATTCTTTGTCGTCTCTTCGAGTTTTGAAATCTGTCATAAATAAACTTTTTCACTATGCACCTGAAATATTCTAGTTATACTGATTCACATTGTAAATACTCTGTCTTCCATCTTTCCTTTTTATCTTAAGAGAAAAAGTATTCTGTAAATCCATATGAACGATTCTATAATCTATTAAGATGATACAAATTAGTAAGAAATAGAAAATAAGGTTACTGGTAGATCTTTCATCTGCATTTAAATTTATGGCAGAGTATTCTGAACTCAGAGCTAGGTTGAAAGAGTTGGGTTCATGGTGATGATTAATAAATAGAACACTGAGTTTTTCTGGCAGTATTTGGTCCCAGTGATACTCGTTTTCCCATAAATGTACTCTGCTCAACTTCAGAACCAATACTTTGAACACTGGGCTAATGATTAGCATTTGATGGATGATGTATAATTCAGCCTATTTTTATTTACAAGACTAATACCATGACATTTTTTTAAAAAATTATTTATTTGAAAGTCAGTTACAGAAAGAGAGGGCAGGGCAGAGAGAGAGAGAGATATCTTTCATCTGCTGCTTCACTTCCCAAATGACTGCAGTGGTCTCAATGGCCAGGGCTGGCCCAGGGTGAAGCCGGAAGCCAGGAACTTCATCCAGGTCTCCCACGGGGTACCAAGGGCCCAGGCACTTGGGCCATCTTCCATTACTTTCCCAAGACATCAGCAGGAAGCTGGATCAAAAGAGGAGCAGCTGGACATAAACCAGCGCCAGGTGGTGGCTTTACCTGCTGTGCCACAGTGCTGGGCCCTCCATGACATATCTTCACATCTTTTTTTATTTAAAGATTTATTTTATTTATTTGAAAGAGTTACAGAAAGAGACTGAGAGAGAGAGAGAGAGAGAGAGAGGTCTTCCATCTGCTGTTCACTTCCCAAATGGCTGCAACAACTGGAGCTGAGCCGATCCAAAGCCAGGAGCCAGGAGCTTCTTTCTGGTCTCTCTTGCGGGTGTAGGGGCCCAAGGACCTGGGCCATCTTCCACTGCTTTCCCAGGCCACAGCAGAGAGCTGGATCAGAAGTGAAGCAGCCAGGACTCAAACTGGCACCCATATCGGATGCTGGTGCTGCAGGCCGGCGTTCTAACCCACTATGCCATAGCACTGGCCCCCTATCTTTACATCTTTAGGCCACAGCCTCTGCACACCCCTGGCATCTCGTGTAAGGACTCACATCTGAGTGGGGATTTTTCTCAGAGATATCTGTGATTCTAAGGTGAGCCTATTAGATCATTCTTTGCTTTTCTTTGTGATGGAGGCCGAAGTATAGCAGAAGGAATCTGAAATAATTGTGAGTAAATGAATGAAATCTTCTTGCCAACCTACACCAACAGTAAAAAGCCCAGGCAAGTCCCATGTAGCTAGGAATCTTTAATAATAATGCCTGGGGCTGGCATTGTGGCATCACAGGTTAAACCTCTACCTGCAATCCAAGCATCCCATACAGGGGCCAGTTAGAGTCCTGGCTGCTCCGCTGAAAATCCAGCTCCCTACTGGTGTGCCTGGAAAAACAGTGGAGGATGGTCCAAGTGCTTGGGCCCCTGCACCCGCATGGGAGACCCAGAGGAAGCTCCTGGCTCCTGGCTTCAGCCTGACTCCGCCCTGGCCATTGCAGCCATCTAGGGAGTGGACCAGTGGATGGAAGATCTGTCTGTGTCTCTGTCTCTCCCTCTCTGTAACTTTGCCTCTCAAATAAATAAATCTTTAAAAAAATTAGGAGACAATGAAATGAGCATTTACCTTATAAATATGGGTATTCACCTGCATACCAGTAAGTTTACCACTTTCCTTAGTGGATATATAAAATTTCTTTGGAACAAAATCTTATTTTTTTTGAAGATTTATTTATTTGAAAGTCAGAGAGAGGGAGAAATACATAGAGAGAGAGCTTCCATCTGCTGGTTTACTTCCCAGATGGCCACAACAGCTGGGGCTGGGCCAGGCTGAAGCTAGGAGCTAGAAGCTTCTAAGTTTCCAACGTTGGTGGCAGGGGACTTGCAGGCAGTGGCTTTACCTGCTACAGCATAACATCAGTCCCAAATATCTTATTTTTTAAAGATTATTTATTTGAAAGGCATAATGACAGAGAGTTACCTTCTATCTGCTGATTGACTTTCCAGATGCCTGCAGTAGCTAGGGCTAAGCTGGCCTGAAGCCAGGAGCCATGAGTTCCATCCTGGTCTCTCACTGGTGGCAGGGGCCCATGTACTTGGGCCATCATCTGCTGCCTCCCAGGCACATTGACAGGAAGCTAGATTGATAGTGCAGGTGAGGTGCTGGTGTCATGGTTTAGCAGGTAAAGCCACCGCTTACAATGTTGGGATCCCTTATAGGCACTGGTTCAAGTCCCAGCTGCTCCACTTCTAATCCAGCTCCCTGCTAATGTGCCTGGGAAAGCAGCAGAGGATGGTCCAAGAGCTTGGGCTCCTGCACTCACGTGGGAGACCTGGAAGAAGCTACTGACTTTGGCCTGGCCTTGCCCAGTCCCAGCCTTTAGGGCCATTTTGGGAGTGAACCAGCAGATGGAAAATCTCTCACCGTCTCGCCCTCTGTAATTCTGCCTTTCAAACAAATAAATCTTAAAAAAAAAAAAGTGGAGCTGAGACTTGATCCCAGGCACTTCCGTATGGGATCTGGGCATCCCAAGTGGCAACTTAACCTGCTGCATCATAATGCCCGCCCCCAAATCCTGTAGTTTTTGCTTCGATCCTAAGTATTTCCTGATGGCAGCAGCTCGCTGATACCTTCCTCCTGAAGTATTGCCGGACTTCTGCTTCCACCAGGCTGGAACTCTTGTTATCTGATTACCAGGCCACCCCAGCATCTGTTCTCCATCCACTGTAGCCATCCCACCCTGGATGGTGATGGCAGGTCTCCCTGTGGTCTCCAGGGTCAGGTCCTTCACAGATCTGACGCGTGCTACGGAATGAAGAGGACTTGACTGACCCCCTATAAAGGTACTGATCTCTGCTGTGGTTTCAGTTCGTGCTCCCTCCAGAATTCACGCCGAAGCTAAATCCCAATGAACAGTAGTAAGTGGGGCCTGTAGGAAGTGTATTAGCTTTATGTCACTAAAGTGAAGTGGCGAGACAGGCGACCTAGGAAGAAGTGAGGTTTATTTTGGCTCACAGTTCTGGAGGGGCGTGATGGAGGGGCTGCTGTTGGTGGTGGTCTTCTGGTTGGCAGAGTCACAAGGCAACAGGAGTATCACAGGGCAAGACAGGTAGCACCTGTGTGCACGTGTGTCTGTCCCTCTGCAAGGCTGCCAGGAAGCAACAAATCCTCCCCACTTCCCAAAGGTTCACCTCCCAGCACCATAGTTGGGTTAGGTTTCCATCCTCTTAACACCTTGCAATGGGAAGTACGTTCCAACACATGAGCCCCTGGGGGACTCAAAGCCATATCCAAGCTATGACAGGAGGGTGAAATTAGGCCCTTGAGGGCCGTGTCTTCATGAATGGGATTTAGTGCCTTAAAAACTGGCTGAGGGAACCAGCCAGGTCTTTTGTTGCCCCCACCCCACCCCAGTCCCTTTTGCTGTGAGGGCACAGCATTGCCGGTGCCATCTTGGACGCAGCGTCAGGTGTCACCAGACACCGAACCAACCAGTACCTTGGTCTTGGACTTCACAGGCCCCCAGAACTGGGAGAAAATAAATTCTGTTCCTTACAGATTGCCCAGTCTCTTGTGTTGTGTTAGAGCAGCCCAGAGACATACTGGCTTGGTTGATCCTTGTGGTCTCTAAAACAAGACCGTATTTGCAGACTTGGAGTCTCAGGGGAGGTTGTTTTTAAAGCCCTTGATAGACGCTTAATTAATAAGTCTTGAAGCCATTTGGTCTGACCCCTAGAGACAAAGTCTGTGTGCCTGGGGAAATAGCTGTTCCTTCGTGATCTTCTAGAGGTACCAAAATAGGGATTACCAGGGAGAGGGAGGAGACAGACACTCTGGGACGGCAGGCTGGGGCCACCAGCCGTGGCCATCAGCCGTGGCTGTACAGAACGGACGCCTTCCCATTGAAAAGGCATTTCTGGAGCAAGGCTGTCGGGGTGCTCGGTGCTGGGATAAGACGGTAGGGCAGGAGCCTGTCTCGCGAGGTGCCTGGGGGAACTGCATGCCTCACGCTGGGCCGTTTTAGAAATGCTGTATTCTCATTCCCTAGAGCACAGCTGAGCTCCTCTGAGAACAGAGCAGGAAGTTCTCCTGTCCCCCAGATAGCCAGTCCCAAGTCCCTAGAGGAAAGGGCCCTGTGCGGGTGGGGCTGAAGCTGGCAAATGCTCGCCTGAGGTCTGTGTGCTCCTGATCAGCAGGGCCACCAACCACTGAGCACCGGCCACACTGAGGGACGGGGCCCCGGGACTGCAAACACGAGATTAGCCTCTCTGGCTCAGAACCACAGGCCTCAAGATCAAAGGGAGGGCTCCTCCTGTCCGGAGAGTGTGGTCGTTCCGAGAGGACCTCTGCCCCTCTCCCTGCCCTTCCCGGAACCCCCCTTTTCCATCCCTCAGTTGATCCTCACTGGTGGCTCCCCTGGGGCCGCCTTGTCTTGCAGTCCTCAGTTTCATTATTTCAAAGGCAGAGTTGGGGGGGGGTGTGTCATCCATCTGCTCGTTCACTCCCTAGATGGCCGCAGTGGCTGGGGCCGGGCCGGGTCTCCCACATGGGTGCGTGGGCCCAGTGAGCCATCCCCTACTGCATGCCCAGGTGCATTAGCAGGGAGCTGGATCGGAGGTGGTGCACAGACCAACGCCCACACGGAGTGCCGGCACCTGCCTGGCTTCCCTGGCTTCCTCTGCCCTGGTCTCCAGGGCCCTGCGGAGATACCAGCAGTCGCTGCAAGCCCTTGAGAGCTGAGGCCCTCTCCTTGGTTCTGGGTGGAGGGGGAGGCAAGAATGGTTCCCTGCCTGGGGCTTGGGGCCAGTCTGTCACTGCGGACCATGGGGATAGCTCCCATGACTTAGATTCTGGCTTTAACATTCAAAATAATCCTTTTCAAACACATCTCGAGGTCAGGAGATGGGG